GAGAGAGAGAGAGAGAGAGAGAGAGAGAGAGAGTGTGTGTGTGTGTGTGAGAGAGTGAGTGAGTGAGAGAGTGTGTGTGTGTGTGAGTGTGTGTGTGTGTGTGAGTGAGTGTGTGTGAGAGAGAGAGTGTGTGTGTGTGTGTTTGTGTATACCTGCGGTAACGCCTGCACCACAGTATCGAGCAGCGCTCTCATTCCTGTGGCCATCTTCAACAACTTCAGAACTGCGAAATTGAGACAAAATCACACTGAACGTCACGGGAGAGACAGAAACATCTTCAGACTTCAATCTGAGTCTCTCTAAATGAAGATCACACAGAAACATCCACGAGAGGCAGGACTGAGATGACAGAGACGCTGATGGAGGTTTCAGATCAGTCCAAATTGCATTTAATACTAAGTGCATACTTTTAAGTGCATAAATGATTTTTAAATAAATGAATGCAATGCATAAATGAACGTTTTTATCTCGGAATTCCCAGCATGTGTGTATAATGCGGTGTTGATGCTCACCGCGGGCGATGCGCAGGACCCTCATGATTCGGATGATGGTGGGATTGATGGGGAGCGAAGCGTTTATTTCAATCTCCTCCAGAGTGATTCCCATCACAGACAGCAGAACGATGGCCAGATCCAGCTGATTCCATCTGCAGAGACAGAATCATTGTCACGGCACTGAACGGACGAACCGGAGATCCTCTGGAAGCGCTGCTCACCTGTCTTTAAAGAAGCGTCTGAAGCCGAACGCGACGAGCTTCAGCATGGTCTCCACCACAAACGTGGAGCTGAAGAAGTAGTTGCAGTATGTCAGCGCCATCTCCAACGACTGAGAGAAACCAGAGAGAAGAAACTCAACACAGGCCTTTACTCCAGATTTACTGTCACTCTGATTACAGTAGATGCTCCTCAGAGTATTATTTACTATTTTACAGATCCCACAGTGTTCCTGAATATGTAATGCTAATTGTGAATTAGTGTGCACATGCATCCTATTTATGAATAAATAAAGAGTTCATTAACATACACTTATAACTAGGAAATATGAGTTTTCTGCTGCATTTTAATCATATGCTAGACTTGTGACCTGGCAAATTACAGACCCATTTCAAATCTTCCATTTATGTCTAAAATTTTAGAAAAAGATATTTCTGCTCAATTGTGCTCCTTCCTGCAAAAAAAAGATATTGATGCGGAGTTTCAGGCCCCACCATAGCACAGAAACTGCACTTGTTAAAATTACAAATGACTTGCGTCTTGCGTCAGACCAAGGCTGTGTCTCATTGCTAGTTTTACTTGATCTTAGTGCTGCGTTCGATACTATAGATCATGACATACTCATAGATAGATCGATTACAAAACTATACAGGTATTCAAGGGCAGGCTTTAAGATGGTTTAGATCCTACCTGTCCGATCGCTACCACCTTGTTTATTTAAACAGAGAATCATTTCAATTATCACCAGTAAAATATGGAGTCCCACAAGGATCTGTCCTAGGTCCTCTGCTGTTTTCGATATACATGTTGCCCCTTGGTAATATTATTAGGAAATACGGGATTAGTTTCCACTGTTATGCTGATGATACTCAACTATATATCTCAACAAGACCAGATGAAACTTCTAAATTATCTAAGCTAACGGAGTGTGTTAAAAATGTAAAAGATTGGATGACCAATAATTTTCTCCTATTAAATTCAGATAAGACAGAGATATTACTTATTGGACCAAAAGACAGTACACAGAATCTCTTGGATTACAATTTTCAACTAGACGGATGCACGGTTACTTCCTCTACAGTCATCTGGGTGTTATATTAGATAGCAACTTTTGATTTTGTTTTGTAAATTCTATTTCACGTGTTACAAAAACAGCATTCTTCCATCTTAGAAACATTGCCAAGTTACGAAACATGATACATGTTTCTGATGCAGAAAAGCTAGTTCATGCATTCATGACCTCTAGACTGGACTATTGTAATGCACTGCTAGCTGGTTGTCCTGCATCTTCAATAAACAAGCTACAGGTAGTCCAAAATGCAGCGGCTAGAGTCCTTACCAGGTCAAGAAAATATGATCATATTACCCCAATTTTACAGTCTCTGCACTGGCTACCTGTTAAGTTCTGTATCAGTTACAAAATACTATTACTTGCCTATAAGGCCCTTAATGGGTTAGCTCCTGCATACCTAACTAGTCTTCTACCACGCTACAATCCATCATGCTCCCCATGATCACAAAACTCTGGACTTTTGGTAGTACCTAGGATATCAAAGTCCACTAAAGGAGGTAGAGCTTTTTCGCATTTGGCTCCCAAACTCTGGAATAGCCTTCCTGATAACGTTCGGGGTTCAGACACACTCTCTCTGTTTAAATCTAGATTAAAGACACATCTCTTTGGCCAAGCATTCAAATAATGTTTCTCATAACCTTGTACTCCAGTTATATCTAATCAAATGCACATTATTATTATTCTTTGCTTGGTTTGAACAGCAGCTACACTATTTTTTCTCTATTTGCTTCTCTGTTTCTGCCACGGGATGGGAATCCTGAGGTAACTAGGAATTACACAAGCTTCAGTCTGGATCCAGCCCTTAAAAGATCTGAGATGACCGAACACCTGAGAAGAGAAGATGCCAACCCATCCGAGGACCTCAGATGACACCAACCCTGAACCAACATACAAAACTATATGGACATATATGAAAACAACATTTTTTTAACTTTAACTAAAATGAAAATATAAAATAATCAAAATATGAATAAAAACTATAATAGTATTTCCAATGACACTAAAATAACCAGACCAATCAATCAAAGCGAGTGTGCAAGCAGCTGATTGGCTGCGGGTCATGTGACGGTGCTGCTCACCCGTGGTTGGTTGTAGTGCTCCAGGCTCATAGTGACCACATTGATGCAGATGATGAGGGTGATGAAGAGGTCCAGATAATGACTGGTGCAGAACGAGTGAATCATCCGCCGAACGCGACCGTATGAGGAGTAATACGGCAGCCGCTGGGCCTCTAAACACAAACAGAACATTTATTAATATTAACATCATCTTTCATTTCACCTGCATTGGTTTTAACTGTGTGCTGATGCTTTGACAGGAACCACACGCTGATATTTCACTGAGAGACGGACAGAAAGAGCGATGGATGGATGTAAATGAGGAAGAGGAAACAATGGGGTCAGCGGTGATGAATGTGGCCCAGGATCTCAGGAGAAGAAGAACGAGGAAAAACACGAGAGATAAACGAGTGAGAGCAGCAGACGACACGGGAAGATGAACAATAACTAGATAAAAAAAAGTTTGTCAAGACAAACTTGAGGTTGGCCTGAGAAAGCCTAGCCGGAAAGTTTAAAGCAGTTGTAAAAGCCTGAAGTTTGAACATTTAGATAGATGTTGATAACATGTTACTAGCATGCTTCTAGAGTGATTAGCATGTTGCTAGCATGATTAGCATGCTACTAGCATATTGCTAGCATGATTAGCAAGTGACTAGCATGTCGGTAGCATGTTTCTAGCATGATTAGCTTGCTACTAGCATGTTGTTAGTATGTTTCTAACATGATTAGCATGTCACTAGGATAGATAGATAGATAGATAGATAGATAGATAGATAGATAGATAGATAGATAGATAGATAACCTGATAACAGACGAGAGCGAAAGAGATGAAGAAAAATGAAGAAGAAGAGAAGCAAACGAGAGCAGCGGGACGATGGAGATGGATTGAGCTGAGAAGAGATGAGAGACTAATGAGACGCTCAAACTCCTTCCTCCTCATATGCAGGGTCTTACTGCGCCTCCTCTTCTCCATGCGCTTCAGCCGCTTCTCCTCCCTCCGCAGCGCCTCCTCCACCTCCTGATGCTGCCGGCACTTGTGGAAGTTCTCCACCACCACACCCACAAACATGTTCAAGACGAAGAAACTGACGATCAGCAGGAAGGAGATGAAGTACAGCAGCATCCAGGGGCTGTTATTGATGACGGGCTGAACACAGACACACAGTTACAACACTCAACGCTGACTAGCTGAACAAATATTGATGAACCGATGAACTATAATAATATAGAGGAAAATGTCTGAAGGTACACTACAGTTTTGTGAATGAAATTAATACTTTTATTCATCAAGGACGCATTTCTAACATTTCAAACATTTCTAATGTTACAGAAGATTTCTATTTCAAATAAATGCTGCTCTTTTGAACTTTCTGTTCATCTGTGAATCCTGAAAAATAAAATGTATGACGGTTTCCATAAAAATATTTTGCAGCACGACTGTTTTCAACATTGATAATAATCAGAAATGTTTCTCGAGCAGCAGATCAGCATATTATACTGATTTCTGAAGATCATGTGACACTGAAGACTGGAGGAATGATGCTGAAAATACAGCTG